AAAAGCAGCGTTGAGTCGAAACATTGCAGGTTTTTTTTTTGGGGGGGGGGGGTTTCCAAAGATGATCAGCTCCCAGATACAGTAAAGACCTTGAACTAAATGCTGAGGGGGGAGGGGGTTATTTGATTGGCAATGTTTTTGTGCCAGCCCATTCTTTTTCAGAAGGGAGAGAAACAAAATTGATCATGTCAATTTCTTTCCACAGAGTCGAATCGCTTCAAATATTTTCTCTCTCATCCCTTCTTTCCCCCTACTCGTGTCAGCGCCTAAACTTTTAGGAGAAACACACTGGAGAGCGATGGAGGGGGGCGGAAGGGGATAAAACGGAACAGTTTGAACGGACTTTAAGACCCGTATTAGCTGCATTCCAATTCCTTATTTTCATTTCAACTGGGCTGCGCGTGGTGTGAAAACAAAAAGTTGAAAATTACGCGGCCCTGATTTTGTAACGCCCCAGCTGATTAAGAAAATGGGGAAAACCTTGTCTCCACTAAACCTCTTGCTTAGAACACCTCCTTAGAGAGACTGTATCTATAGTCCTACGATTATTTGAAAAGCGTCCTGCCTCTCTCGGATAAAAATCCCAGATCAAACGTAGGGTTTGTTTTTCTTACCCTGCCCAAAGGAGCAGGGAGAATTGAAAAAGATTTGACACTAGAAACTTCAGATTCTCCCCCCCTTCCTTTATCCCCTCATCCTTTTGCCCAATGTATTTTTTGGAATAATCATCCCCACAGACAATGCGTAATCTCGCTTGATGAAGGCATTATGGCCAAGCAGGCTGAAGGACCAGCCGCCCCGTCCCGACCTCTCAGGGCCAGATTGTTGGCGTTGGACGCTTGATTTCCAACTTTCAGCTCCAACGATTGCATCGAACCCAAAGCAATAACCCCAGAGCAGGAGTCCAGGGTCAACTGGGCATTTATCATGGAACCAACGAGGCAAAGGGGGCACCTGCCTTCTTTTGTGCTGACATTTTTAGCAGCCTTAATTTTTTTTAAATCGTGTGTGTGTGTGTGTTTTGGGGGGGGATAGGTTTATATCGGGGGAAGCAGTTTGTCAGCATCATGGGAATTCCATGCCTTGGAAATGCAAGGTGGTGTGTGTGTGTGTGTGTGTGTGTGTGTGTGTAGTAGGGGGGGGATAGGTTTATATCGGGGGAAGCAGTTTGTCAGCATCATGGGAATTCCATGCCTTGGAAATGCAAGGTGGTGTGTGTGTGTGTGTGTGTGTAATAAGCGTGCACCGCTCTCCTGGTGGAAAGCAATTTCACAAATAATTTTTTCCAACAATTAAGGAGTGTGCAGGGGTGAAATGGCAATTTCACATGCAGATCTGGGGGCTGCGCGGGGGAGGGGGGGCCTGTTACCTGAGCGCCCAAGCGGAGAGCTAAGAAAGGGGGGGGACCCTTTTCCCCCCCTTCCCCCAATGCCTTGCTTCATTACCCATGTGCACAAAGGAGATCCCCCTTCTTTTCTCTCCTGGGAGCGCTAAGCAATAGATTAAAACAAGCATCAATCAAGAAAAGGACCCGAGTAACTGCTTAAAGCAACAAGACAGAATTCCTCGCGTCTTTGAAAGGGACTCCTCACTTCTCTGCGTATCTCCATGGTTTCCTAAGGTATGTTTCTGGTTGATAAATGCTGTATATCACGGCTCCCTTTGGAGAGATGGCTTGTAAATCAGCACTGAAGGACAACTCATAAGGATAAGGGAATAGGGGTGTTATTTTTTTTCATCTCCACCTTCTTCCCCCCCCCCCCAGCTCACCTTCCTTTTGCTTCTGGTGGAACTTAGAGCCACTCAACGGAGGGGGGGGGCGTATGTAAATTGCGGAGGGGCTGGCAAACACGGCGCTGCGTCCTGACAAGCTCTGTTTATTAAATTCTCAACTTGAGGAAGGCTTATAGGTTAAGCTTGCCCAGGAAAATCACTTAGGCAATGCACAAGCTGCCAAAAGCAAAGCTGCCCACCTCACTCGCCGGCTTAGTCAGTGCCTTTTAGAGACAGGCTATTAATGATGGCTTTAAAAAAATGCCTTATTCTTTATTTAGTAGGATCATGCATTTGAACGTCTATTTTGACACTGCTCCAAGAGAGGCTCGAAAGGAGAGAGCTTCTCTTCAAAAGATCATTCAGATCAGACGTGCTTTTTAATAGGCGCTTTTGAAAATATTAAAAGCCGGAGAATTTGATCGTTATTTGGTTAAAATGGAATAATAATAATAAAAAGGCCTGGAGAGGAATTATTTAA